TACTATCGGGATATTTGGTACCATTTTATCCAGTACTATCGGGATATTTGGTACCATTTTATTCAGTACTATCGTGATATTTTGTACCATTTTATTCAGTGATATCGTGATATTTGGTACCATTTTACCCAGTACTATCGGAATATTGGTTACCATTTTATCCAGTACTATCGGGAWATTTGGTACCATTTTATCCAGTACACTGTACTATCAGGTTATTTGGTACCATTTTATCCAGTTCTATCGGGATATTTGACGGGTCAAAAGTGTAGCAGTAAAATAATGAATATCACCGATCAAAATGGAACAGCGTAAAAGGAACGAATAATTCGTGTGAAATATCGAAAAGGAAAAGAAAAAAGAATAGCAAGTATCGAATATCGAATATAGAGAAAAAATGGTGTTGTGGGTAAAAATCTACTGTTGTCTATCCATGTGCTGACCAAGATCGGACCAGAGGCGGTCTCAGATGTTTTTTCCTTGTGTGTTAGCATTGCCTTGACTTAGGCCCCGTCCACACGTGTTCGCAAATTTTTGTATCCGTATCCGGAAACGGTCTCCAGAGTGGAAATTTTCAGATACGCTCCGAATACGGATACGTGTGGACGGTCGTATCCACAAATTTTCGGATACGCTGACGTAAACACGATTTTTCTTATGCTCAATAAGAAAAACTATCCGTCAAAGGGACTAGGCACTAGCGTGCATCAGGGCGGATCATGAAATTTCCGGATACGTGTGAACAGTGAAAACGATTCGAATACGCTGCGTGTGGACGCGAACATTTTCGTATCCGCAAAAAAAAATTTGCGGGTACACAAATTTGCGGATACGTGTGGACGGGGCATTAGGGTATTGGTAAAATTTGAATGATTAACGTAATTTTTGTTTTGTTTTATTGTTATTCAAGCGACGAGCTATATCATCGTCTCCAACCACAGAACAATACTTGAGGTATCATATCATAGGATGCGCACGCATAACTAACGAGACCTCTCGAATTGGAGGAAGATTTGTTTCGTTATTGGGAGCACCAATCTGGATCAAGAATAACGTAAGTATTCGAATTCGTAATCAAAATATAAGTAATTTGATGGCGTACGATACACAGGGATTGGTCGCTCGAAAGCCACTGTTTGATATTAGTTTGAAATTGGAATTGAAGTCCCGTCTACATTCGAGTCAAACCAACTCATGCGTTCCTATCGAGGTTCAAAGATTCAGTTCATTATTCGAAGTTTGATTTCCATCTTGCTTTGAAGCTTGCATTAATGAAATGAACGATGCGAATTTGAATTTGTCATCGCCAAAGACGATGGGCGACAAGCGATAGGAGAAAAGTCATTCCAAGATCCAAGAATAGCTGGAATGACTTTCAAGAACATAGACCTTCGTGCTGAGACTGATTCAATGTTCTTTAAATTTAACGAAGCCATTTCCATGTCGGAATGACAACGTTTTATGAAATAGGTGTATAATACTTCACAACAGTAATTTCAGATCCTCCTATAATTTTTTTTCCCGCTAGTGATGATTTTCTTGGTTGTCTTTTCACCAGGGTTCTGGGACCTTCTTTGTGGACGCACAGAATAACACAGCAAGAATAATCCAGATTTACGAGTCTGTCAATGGTCATGTTTTCAAACTGGATCAACTATTGACYCCACCTTCCGATGTTATCAACACAGGAAACCCATCAGTAAGTACTTTTTCATTTGATTCTTAAGACTGTTATTCACTTTGGTTGGAATCGGAGTCGGAAGCAGCTTATGACGAAGTGAAAAACACATTAAACGGAGTCGTAATCGGAGACAGAACGAGGATTGTAAGGTTTTCTTTTTCTTTCTTTTGTGCTTACGCTTATGGCATGTGATTTTCACTTCCAAGTCACGCATGGACGTCTTCCGGCTTCGATCCCGACGCAAAAGAAAACCAGTCTCTAGTCGGTCCGGTCACATGGCGGAGCCGCTGTGCAAAGATTAGCGCGCAATAATGAAATGCAACCTTCTTAAAATTGTCTTGTATGCGAGGCCAACATGGAAATACAAAAGCCACAAATTCCATCGTGTAACATTGTACTTGATAGATAAGGCAGTAAGCCGTGTAGGATGGGCTGGGATATCAAATAAGAACATGCGTAATAGGTAAATTACGAGCCTTGATGAAACGACTGAAGAAGAGTGCCGTACAAGTGAAATTGTGGTTTCTTTTGTATTTCCACGTTAGCCTTGCGATACTTTTGAAAAGTGTCCATTGAACTGTGCGTCTACCTTTGCAACAGTTGCGCGCATTGCAGACTGAAAAGGTGGAATCGAAATTTACTGGAATATTGCGCGCAACTAAGTTAATTGCTTGAACGCGTGAGCAAATTTGTTGCCGCAAATGACTTGTTTTTCTCAGGGAATCCAATTCAAGTTCTGACCAAATTGGCTTGGAATAGTCTTGAATATTTCATAATTTATCGCAAGAAACGTTCCTCCTTTCTAAATGTGTCATCACACGAAAAAATCCTAGTTTACCAACAATGTTGGCAGTATTGTGGCACCAAAGTTTTGTCATGGTCGGTTGAAAAAGATGGTTTTTATTTATATATTTTTCTTTTTATCTAGTCCTCATACACGAATGTCGCTAAAAGTCTTGGCTACACTAAAGGACTTGACCTATTAAAGGTGAGTTTGGAAAACAATTCGCGAGTTGTATTTGTTAATTGATACTAATTTACATAGAAAATGTTCAGAAAAATAACGTAGATTGCATTTAGACACGCTAAGACTCAGGTCAAACGTCGAACTTTACATGAGCCGATCCTATTTGAAACAAGGCGGTCTTCTTTAATGACATTAGGTTCGGCTCATGTGAAGTTGATCCAAAGGGGCCTTGAATACTCCGTGAATTCTTTAGAGGAATTTGGCGCAAAATGCAATGATGTAACACTTTAATACAAATTGCGATGAAAGAGTCAAAATTTATAAATATCGGATGTCATCATCATTTTCATCAATCTTACAGCTAGCAAGTCTTGAAAACATCCTATCCAATCCCTTTCGCCGTCCATATTTGGTGTTCATGTCRACCAATCAGGCTATTGATAGGCTACCAGAAAGGTTGAAAACGAGGCTTTCCACGCCCGCACACGTGGATGAGTTAAGGACATACATCAAATATCACATGGTACCCAATGCGCCGGTATGTGGAAATAATATTATTCACCATTCAAACGTTGAAACCCCACCCCCCTCCTTTCATCGTGCACTTCCTAATGTGAAAGAACTTATTCCTCTTGGTGCAAGAACACGTGTCATACCCAGGTTTACCTAACCTTCACAATAGACCGTTTACTCAAGGTTGCGTGCGCGTCCAAATTTAAATAACTTGACGGGCCACGATACCATAACATGAGTATTGTCATGCATTGCTATRAATTTTTTTTTCGCATAAGAATTCATAGAATCGATTATTCTCCTCTTTAAATATAAAACTGGCTTCTAAGTTTTACTTATTTTTTCATTTTTGTGGCCCGTCAAGTTGGATGCGCACGCACCCTTGAGGAAAATGTCTATAGTCAACTCAAACTGATGATAAACCAACTCTTGTATCTAATTATAGGACTATTTTATTACGGAGATGTGACAAAATTCTCCTTCATCTTCCTGTCCCCCCTCCTCTCCAAAATAAAGTCCACCTTTCTTTTACTGCCCTATACTGACTATCGATCTCAACAATCAATCTAAAAGTTGTTGCCTTGATATTTTACCCAGGCCAACCTGACCACAGATTTCTTTGTTCGTGGGGGTGGAGGTGTCGAACTAACGACCATGCAAGGCCAAACCATCTTTGTGTCCTGCAAAGGAGGAAAGGTAAGTAGAAACATTTTCAGGACAAATAATGGGATAAGAAAAGAAAAAACTCTCTCAATTTTACGTAAAAAGTTCTCGTAGTATCTGTTATCGCTGTGAATAAGCCCCATTTGGATTGACTCGCCTAGTTTCCGTGTTAGTTTAGACATTTTTACCTTGGGCATGTAGCTTTCCCATTTCAGACCACGTGTCATTGTCTTCACAATGAAATTATTTGTTTGAGTTGTATGTACAATCATGTGCCTTTTGCAACCGTTAAAGAAAGAAATGATACTCTAGAGAATGACACGTGGTCTGTAATAGGAGATATTGCGCCCAAGCCGAAAAGGTCTATTGTAATGAAAACTCAAAACGACTTTTAAAGTTTTTTTAGGAGGTTTGCGCATGTCTTTAGATGACGTCAGTAGTCACGTGTACTATTCAGGCACGCATGCGCATTTGGAGTTTTGGTTATCATCACCAGATTCGTAGAAAAACTTTCAGAAACTAATTTAAAAGACTTGTCTTCTCATCTTTACCTTTGGATGTTTCAGGGTGACTTATATGTCAACGGCGTTAGTAGGATTTCCAAGAGAGATATTCAGTTTAAGGGCGGAGTTGGTTTCGCTGTTGATGATGCCTTACTTCCTCTTGGACTCGGAGGAAATTGTGATCAACCAATTAAAGAAATTATTAACGTAAGTATTTATCACTTTATTATTAGCATCGTCATCGTCATCAGTTATTATGACTATCATCATGATCATCATTAATCATCATCATTGACATCATCAGTTATCATCCATACATCAATGCTTCCATCCCAACCACCTATTCATACTTCCTGCTGAAACATCTATTCTTCCATCTCTTTAATCCCATTCGTCCATTCAATTGATGTCATCCATCCATCCCTCTTTACATTCATTTCTTCCCGTCCCATCCCATCTCATCCCATCCCATACATTTCCATCCCATCCCATCTCATCCCATTCATTTCCATCCCATCTCATCTCATCCAATCCATCCACCCATCCACCCACCTACCAACCCACCCACCTACCAACCCACCCATCTACCCACCCATCCACCCACCTACCAACCCACCCATCCACCCACCTACCAACCCACACGTCCCCCCATCTACCCACCCTCCCACCACTTTTTATAGTAGGTATCATTAGTACCAAGAGTCTGTCTTACTAGTCCATTCATCTTCTCTCTCTTTTCCTGTAGGGTTCTTGTGGTAACTGCTTACTTCCTGTGAGCTGCCCACCGGAAACCACGCTTGTAGTAAGTGTTAATCTGTTCTTTTAGATTGTTAGATTTTTTCTCAAGTAGCAGGAGCGGACAGCGTGGAGCGTAGAATGAGGGTGGATAAGATTGAAGAGTCTTTAAAAATCAATGATGTAACACATATTATTAAGAAGGCACAAGAAAACCCTGAAGGTGGACACAACCAATATGTCTTATCTTTGTTTTCTACTCCTAGGGTTCAATCAATCATGGCTGTACTTTCAATGGAGGCATCCTTGGTTGTCAACCTCGTTGTATGCGACACAAAATCGAGCGCAAATGTTGTTCTAATTTCTATGGCTCAGACTGTAGAGGTAATAACAATCATCATGTTTTAAAGCGGTTTTCATATGAGTGTGAAACACAGGGTACTGAGTTATAGCACGTACACCGCAGTGCGACATGCTGTAACATTGGAAAGTGTTTCAGCCAATCACAATGCATTAGTTTCGTCTACAGTAAGATACGGTACTGCTCCAGTACGGCTAAAAGGATTTGGTGTATTATTTCCCACTCATTGAAAAACCGCACTAATGTGACTATGATGATCGCTGTCAAGCACTATTGATAGTCGTACTTTTAGTTTAATAGGCCCTTTCAATATAAAGTCAAAGTAGCTCAATTTGAAGGACAAAAAAAAAATCAATCTTAAGAGGATTGAAAAAACCTATTGTTATGTCCTCCAGATTGAGCTGCATCCGACGTACTGCAAGGGATCTATTCCACGACCTTCTAAGATCTCACACAGTTAATGTTTATAATCTTCCAGCATGTCCTGGTGGTGAAGGGACCCCATGTCTTGGGCGTGGTCAGTGTGATGATGGGTTAACAGGCACGGGTGTTTGTAATTGTACTAAGCCCTTTTATGGAACAGCATGTGAACGATGTCCTAATAACACGGGCTGTCCAGGTAAGCTACTTACAAAGAAAAAAATACGTAGCCAGTAATATGTGACATATTGTGACACCTTGCGTGATACCTGCACCAAACAATAACACGGTCTGTCCAGGCAAGCTACTTCTAAAGAAAACAATACGTAGTCAGTAATATGTGACATATTGTGTGACACCTTGCGTGACACCTGCACTTAGCAACAACAAGATTCTGTCTAAGCTACCTCTAAAGAAAACAATACTTAGCCAATAATGCGCGGTGACATACTTACGGAATGTAATATTGTGTGACGACTTGCGTGACACAAGCATTTTTAAACATCTTCCAGGCTAATGTTGAGTGATTTTTTCCCCAGCTCCAGGCTCCTGCAATGAGAACCCTGACACATGTCACGTGTTTGCCACGTGCTCTGATGAATCTGGTCACGTGAACTGTACTTGCAAACCTGGTTACGAGGGCGATGGATTTTATTGTCAAATGAGAGACTTGTGTGCTGTAAACAATGGAGATTGCGGTGTCAACGCTACCTGTCATTTCCAGGGTCCAGTAAGTACCAGATTTGTTTTGTGATGGATGTGGCCGCACGTTCAATGCTGCGTTCGGATTGGCTTGAAGTTATAGCCTCTTAGCTCGGCTTTGAAAGCCAAAACATCGAACTTAACTTTAATTCAAAACTTGTTTGCAACTATATATTTGACCGACTAGTTGGATTTGACTATAACGGTCATACGCCTCAAGACATATAAGTAAATAGATCATTTGGGCTCGAGGACTAATTGCAAAATGGTATTCGTTATAGTTGAAAGCAAATGGCGGTCAGTTTTTGAACACCATTTGGAGCAGATAAGGAGATTCACTAAAGGATTTTATCGGCTGATAAATTAAAATCTAGCAATTTGTTCAAGCARCCTTTGTATTTTTCTCGACAGGACCAAAGACTCTGTCAATGCAAGCAAGGATTTTATAAAGTGAACGACCGTTGTCAGGCGTTTGGACCATCGTCTCCATGTTCGGTGAACCACGGAGGCTGTTCTAATCATGCTTCTTGTACTGAATCGAGTGAGTCTTTGGACAGTACTTTATTTGGTATTCCGCGCAAGACTGGTGATGACCTTGTGGTGCTTGATGGGATTATGGGTCTATAATAATAATAATAATAATAATAATGATGATGATGATGATGATAATAATAATAATAATAATAAATACTTTGTTTAACGAGGGTGGAACGTAATAGTATAATATAATATAATATATTTTTAAAGTTGTTCATTGTCTTGTTACTACAGATGGGGCTGCTGTTTGCAAGTGTTGGGCGGGTTACACTGGCGACGGGATCCAATGTCATGGTAATCTTATCCAGGTATGCACTTCAAATCTCTGTCAACTGAAGAAATAGAAAACACGCGCGCGTGCTGTTTTCAGTTATAATGCACACAGGGGTTGGCAGAACTCAAGAGAAGTGTTGGGTAGAAGCACGACGCTTAGCGGAGTACTTCTCGAGTGTACTGCCAATCCCCAAGTGCACACAGCACAGCAAGCAAGATATTTTATTTCTTTTATAAAATACAAATTACAACAACCGTTATTTTGGATAGGAATGACGCAACTAAAAGTGCGCGCGCGTGCTGTGTGCTCTCATAAAGCATGCGCTCCCAACCAATCAGCACGCAAGATTTATAACAGTTATTTTATAAAGAATAATAACGCATTCCTGTTGCGATAGACTAAACAGTTTACACGCTCGCGCACTCCCAACAATGTAGGCAGCAAGATTTGAATCGCTTACAGCTTTAAATTTAGAAACGCTTACCCTATTGCACGGGTACACATCTTGCGCATTACCGCTGATATTTCCATTATGAGACTCAATATTCTATTTGGTTACTGTCTAACATTTGTTTTTTCTGCTTGTCTAGTCTTTAGAAAGCACAGTTAAAGTATCGTCATTTTACAAGGTATTTTGCTATCATCATCATCATCACATCATGATCACATGATCATTATCATCACCATCATCACCAATATCATCATCACATCTTGGTTATCACATCTTCGTCATCATCATCATCATCACCATCATGATCATCATCACATCATAACCATCACCATCATTATCACCATCATCATTATCACCATCATCACATCTTCGTCATGCATCATCATCATCATCATCATGATCATCATCACATCATCATATCCATCATCATTATCACCATCATCACCATCACCACCACCACCACCA